AACCAAACCATTACCAATAGAATAATGTCTTAGGATAGACTGCCCTCAGGAGGCCAAAATGAAATCTCTTCATGGAATATCACACACTAACACACTCGGCATACACTAACTTGGCACACACTTCACATACTTCTGTTACCATAAAAGAAAGTCTGCAAAAGCTGTTCCTCACAACAGCTCTTACTTACAGCTGCAATATGTAAAAAAACCAAACAAAACCACCTCACCAACATTTTGTGTGTCCTGCTAGAAACTTCTACTGATGATAATCAATTGCAATATATGCCTCAGAAGTATGAAGAGACTAACATAGCGAGTTCACTACAGCAAGTGTTCTAAGTTACAAACAAATTTTTTAACAGATAAGCAGAAGTAAGGCTCCAATGACCTATCTAGGAGAAAAAAAGAACAAGAGTAGTCCATCATCTTCTCAAACACTAGAAAAATGCGGAGAATAAATACAAACCAATTAACTTTCTAGGCCTACAATGTGCTCCGGAGATTAACTAAAGCCCAGAACACACAAATCACACTACCTATAAAGTTTAACTGAATCAAATCTAAAGTCGACAGAAGAACAGTTGTAGGTTTCCTAACTTGGCAGTGAAAGGTAGGGCACATAAATGAGTAAATACTGCAATACACAATCTTCTTTTAGCAAGGAGATCCTTTCTGAAGCAGGAACCCAGCCGAGTTTAAAAAAGAAAAAAAAAGCAATAATTATGGGTGGGTCAGAAAGGGGGTTGCTGTGCAAGAGGACTGCATCCTGAATTAAACGACAGCTGCAAAAAGCAGCCACCCTCAAAACATGCCTTGATGGTCTCTTTAGAAATTCTGGGGAGGTGTTGAAAGGCCATATATATACACCGGTGACATGGGGTGGGGCAGGAGAAAAGATCAGGAATAAAACGTAAATTAAGTTCAAGACCAGACCTGGACAGCAGCCTTCTTTAAAATGCTCCCAAAGCTACACGATGAGGCAAAGTTTCAATGCATGCCTGAAAAATTGTTGTAGGAAGAGGAGTACAGATTCTTTAGGGACTGCAGAAACATGGAGTACTGGGAATTTGTAAAACAGTTCAGTCTAAACAAAGAATAAGTAGGAAGATGTTGGTACTTAACAGAAGATTATAGGAGAGTTTTAAGCAATATAGCAGGTGAAGAACCATCAGATGAATAAGAGCACATGCGCTCACTTCCACTAGGAATGGAATCACAGAAACTCTGTATGTCTAATAAGAGGGTGGACTGGAGTTTTCAAAATTCAACTGAGAAATCATGGTAAGTCAGTCAAGCACACAGTCCTACTCAAGAACACCCATGCGCAAAGAAAACCAAAACATTTATATATAGCTGGGCATAAATGCTAGCAGCACAAGATGTAAAACCCAAACATCTGTTTTTAATCAAGGACAGTGACATAACAAGCATACCAGAAATATGATGGACGCAAGGCAAATAAGCAAGATATTGACACAAATTATGTAAGAAAGTAATCAAACGAAGTATCAATATATTAACTCATCAAAACAAATATGGATTGAATTTCCAGGCCTAAACTCTGTTGTTAGACGATACTACCCACACAATTAAGATGATGGCAGTAGCTATGACACCCAAGGACTATAAGGCTAGTAATGTAACTGTCATGAAAGACGGCAATTATCAGCAGGTTGGATAAATGTCACACTGAAGAGGCCAAGATCACTTTTTCAGTACATTTTTTTCATGCAGCCAATCAGGGACACCCAACTCCGGCTGCGGTCCCCGGCAGCGTACAAGACCCGAGTCAAAATGTTAGTTTCAAAAACTGGCTTTGTGATGGTAACTTTTATTTCTGCAAGAATATTGACCAAGTTTATTAATAAAGACAACGTTCCACTACTGCAGACTTCCATAAAAAAGGAGCAACATAAAATAAGGAAATACGCTAAAAGGAAACCAAAAAGACAAGTCAAAAAAATTAAGATGCAATGCTTGAAGACAACACTAAGACTGTATGCACTGAACTTCAGTATGACAACTTTAAATACACATGCCAAATTAAACTTTTTTTTGTGAGGAGGGGGAAGCTGGCACAGATTAAAAGCTACTAGAATTTAAAAACCAACCTCTGCAATACCAGCAGTCTAGCTTTAGCAGTCAAACGGAATCTGTCACTGAATGCAAAATTTACAGACAGATCACAGCATAGAGGAACAATCTGCAAAAGTGCATACAAACTGAACACCACCTTAAGAACAGGTACCGTGCCTGAATAAGCCAAGCAGATCATCAAAACAAAAAGCAAAGTGCTCAGGGAAGGCAAGGCCACAGGGAAAAAAAAATCCCCAAATTCTGAACAAAACCCTAAATCAGTTTTTGGTACCATGGAGGAACTTGAGCAGAACCTCTACAAGCAACTCATTGGAGGTTTTACCCCTCAGAGCGAAACA